GTGTGAGTTTAAGCCGCCAGGTCCGGGACTTGAACTTCGGTCGACTACATGGGAGTCCAGTGACATAGCCATTATGCCAACTGCTGGTTCCTCTGTTTTCTTTTTTCTTACAGAGCATGGTACTCAATGGACAGAGAAAGTGAAAAATCACCACCCAAGGGGATGTCCATGCCATGTAATTCTCCTCTTGGGATTTTGGTTATGCACGCACGTACACCTGGCATGGATTTCAAGCCACCAGGTCTAGGACTTTAACCACAAAACTGGCCATGTGGGATCAAGCCCTTTAACCACCATGCCACTGGCCTGAGGTCTATGGTTTGATAACGTTTACCAAACAGTGGAATACCTCACCTGCGGCCAAACCATGCTGACTATTACCCTATTTAGTTCTGATGTCCTTTCCAGTGGTGGGTTCCCCACACAGTCCGTGTTAGCACGTGCACAGCAGAGACCTACCACCAAATCCCATCCCAATTTCTGTGCACGCATTCCGTCACACGCTCGTGCTCTCTCGTACAGCAGTGAGTATCAGCCCGTTCAGGGATTCTGCCTTCTCATTAACCCCTCTCTGACCTTTCTCCCTATAACTCTCAGCAAATGCTTCTCATGGCTTAGGGACCCAACTTTCTCTAGAGAATTTTGCAGTAAACCCTTCAGTCTCACCATGTGTATTTAATCACATTTAACAGGCATGAAAATCAAGACACACTTAGACACTAAGGCCAACTTAAAACAACAATAACGAGAAGAGCTAGTCATTATGAGATATCTCCAAACCACGTGCTGCACTCAGCACCTGACACACACACTCTTACGTCTTTCACCTTAGCAGGCCTTTACGGTAGGTGCTTGGATGATTGCTGTGTTAGCAGCCAGGTAGGAAGGCACCTTACCTCGAGTTTAAGTAACTTGCCCAAGGTCACCCAGCAAGCAATTGGCAAAGATGGAGTGATCTTGATGTCTGTCGGATGACAGAGTTGATCTAACCTCCATGTTTCATTGTCAGGAAAGACAATTCCTAAGTGTGTCTAGTGTCTGAATTTATAACCGTGTGATTCCCTAGGTTACACACCATACCCAGGATTCCACAGCCTTCTCTTCGTGGGGGAGAAAAAATACATATTCTTGCTAGTCTAGAGCACTTCTGAAGTAAGGTGCCAGATTTCTCAGGATGCAGAGAACAGGGGCCTGGGCTCCCATCAGGTCGAACCAAGAGGTCACATCAGAACTCAGTACCAGGGCACACAGGGACAGAAGCCAGAGAACCGTGGGTTAGAGTGAGTGGCAGTGCAGACGTGGAAGGAGAGAGTGAAGATTATTCCTCAGGAAGTTATTCCTCGGGAAGTTAGGCCTCTATGGGCAAGAAGTAGGGAGTGAGGAAAGGAGCAGAGGAGAGACTGGATTCAACAGAAGGGTTGTGCTTTCTCTTTGTAGTTTTGTTCTGTTGAAGATTTGTGCATGTTGCAATGCCGGGGAGGGCTGTGGGTGGGAAACTAAGCAGATCCAGGAGACCACATGGAGGGCCAGGTACTGATCAGCGAGGACCCTCAGTCAGCCAGGTCAGGAAGATCTTTGAAGCCCACAACAGGGGAACATGTTTGCTGGGTTTGACGCCAAAACCTGCTTGTACCTGCATCCCTGGCTTCCCACCGTCACTGGCTGGTACTCTCTGACTATGAGCTGAGTCGCTAAGGAGCTGTGAACAGTCAGGAACATTTCCTTTCTGCTGGGCAAAACGTCTTATGCTTTTTTAGTGAGAAAACACAAATACACAATACCAGAAGATGAACCCTGAAGCAGCCTCATGCGTAGGTGACAAGGCCTGATGCAAGGGACACTAAGTCTGCCTCCACTTCAAATAGCCCTCACCAGCCAGCCTTGGGTCCTTGATCCACTCTGTCATTCGGATTACCTTCTTAGACTCCTGTTAAGACACAAACAGGTCAAAACCATCTAGACAAGAACACGCTGGTTCCGTCCACCACTATTGACAATGGCCCAAAGGCAGGAGTAACCCACGTATCTGTTGAATGGATGGATAAACAAAACGTGGTATGTACATGCGATGGGATATTATTTGGCTTTAAAAAAGAAGACAATTCTGACACATGCTACCACATGGATGAACTCTGAAGACATTATGCTGAGTGACATAAGCCAGTCACAGAAGGACAAATTCTATTGGGTTGTCAGAAAAGTCGCGACATATTTTTTTCTATGCAAAAATGTGTCATCACTTTTCCAACAACCCAATATATGATCCCACTTATAAGAGGCATCCAAAGTTGCCAGGTCCGTGGAGGCAGAAAGCAGGATGGTGGTTGCCGGAGAGGAGAGAGTGAGGGGCTGATGTCTAATGCGTCCGGAATTTCAGTCTGGGATGTTGAAAACAGTGCCCATGACGGAGGTGGTGATATTTACACAACGATGTGGGTGTACTTACGACAGGAACTGCACCTTTAAAAATGACTAAAATGGCCAATCTGGTGTTACATTTTGCCCCAATTCAACAGACAAAAACCAGAGTCATTTAAAGCGGCCACATAATTCCTCATTCTCACCATTACTAGTTTGGCCCAGCTCTCCATTTTAGCCAAGGACATTCCAGAGGGAGCCGGACCTTCTGGGATCAGGAAGAGCCGAGACACAGAGATGAGAGTCGTGAGGAGAGTGAGTCATTAGGCTCTCGAGAGTGCTGGACAAAGGCCACCAGCTCTTGGGTTCCTGTCTAGACCTGAGTGGGGTGCCCTGCTGGGTCCTTAGCAGCAGAAGAGTGTGAAAATCCCACACCCCGGGGGCTGCTCGAGAGCAGCGAGTGGTCTCTGTCTGCTTTGCCTGTGACCAGGGCCATGGGGCCAGAGTATTACTCTAGGGAGTAATAATACTACAAGGCGGTTACTAGCAGGCCCCCGTGAGCCAGCAACTCAGCTTGTTCAGAAACTTTCCCCAGACCTCCCTTTTGTAAGCTGGTGTGATGGAGGCCTGACACCGTGGTCGATGCCGATGGTGGGTGTAAGGATGGCAGAGCCGTGCCCCGTGGTCCACCACGCCGTGTGCTTGCCACGATTTGGCTGGTACCACCTCCACTAGCAGACCATGGGAAAGAAAGCCATTTTGGCACTTTAACCTTCTCCCCTTAACGAGAGAGAGAGAGAGAGAGAGAGAGAGAATGATTTATACTAGTATGCAAATGCTTAAGGAAGGAATAAATTAAATTTCCATGCTCTCCAGCTTGAGCTATTTTTGTCATATGCTTTCTAGTCTGCGACATGCTTTGCCAACTTTCTATTTTTAGGTGATCAGGAAAAGCCTAGTTTAAGTTCTCTGCCTTCTGACTCCTCCCCCACATTGTGCAGGAGGCGCGGTGATGTGGGGGAGACTCTGTCCCATCAGTACAAGGTAAGTGACCAGGAAGTGACAGTCACATGAAAATCTCACCTTGGTGACAAAGCATCCTGGATGTGGGCTTTGCTTCCTTTGCAAATGTCAGCTAGTCCTGCCTGCCCCCAGCCCAGATGGCGCAGTCGATGAGACAGGAAAAATACGTAGTCTGGAGTATTTACAGTGTTTCCCCCACTCCCATTTCCTGTGGAGGATTTCGTCTTGGCCAGCCAAGTACTGGAGGATTTCTTGTGCAGGGTACGGGGAAACGCAGGGAGGGATTTTGAATTGTGCAGGCCTGTGGGTGGGAAGGCTCGATGCTTTGTCCAAATAAAGGCAGAGGTTACCTACGAAGGAAAGCAGAATAGATCGTAAGGTAAGGAGAGGATGCGAAAGACAGGAGTCGGGGGTGGGCCAGATTTAGGGGGAGTCACGAGATAAATGACGGGGGATTGGAGTAACTTCTGGGTTTTCATGAGGAGGATCTGGAAGAACGATGAGAGAACAAGATGTTTCAGAAGTATTTGAGTATAAATGGAATCCACCTCCTTGCCCTTTGGCATCTTTGAGATTTCAGTAAAATACAAATCTGTCTAAAAACTATTTTTGTATGCATAACTGGTGTTCATTTAAGGCAGCCTGAACTACCTGAAGGCAAGAGTTTAATACTGAAGGAGTACCCCCCTGTACCCCACTTCTCCCATAACTCAGACTGTGGTCCTGTTTTTGTTGTTGTTGTTATTATTTTTTGTTTGTTTTTTGTTTTACTTTAAGGTTTTTGCCGAAGAGCACATGCATTCACTAGAGATAGAAAGTTAGAACGTGAGATGGGACCAGCAGTTAGCATAATGGCTATGTCGCTGGACTCCCATGTAGTCGACTGTGGTTTGAGTCCTGGACCCGGTGGCTTAAATTCACGTTGGGCACGTGTGCCTGCGTGCCCAAGATCCCAAGAGGAGAATGGAGGAGAAGGGATTGCAGTGTGGTCATTCCCCCTTGGGGGGTGATTTCTTGCTCTCTGTTTCTCTGTCCATCTCTGTCTTTCTGGTGAGCACACGCACTCTATAGCAAAAACCTCTAAGAAAAAAGAAAGAAAGAAAGAAAGAAAGAAAGAAAGAAAGAAAGAAAGAAAGAAAGGGAAGGAAGGAAGGAAGGAAGGAAGGAAGGAAGGAAGGAAGGAAGGAAGGAAGGAGAAAGAAAGAAAAAGAAAGTGAGAAATCACCTCCCAAGGGTGATGGCCATGCCACAATCCCTTTTACTTCATTCTCTCAAGATTTGGGGCACACAAGCACATGTGCCCAGCATGATTTAGAATCACCAGGTCTGGACCCAAATCACAGTTGACTATGTGGGATTCCAGCACCTTAACCACCATGCCACCTGCTGGCTTCATGTTCTTGATATGTTGAACTCGTGTCGTATGACTAGGTGTGGACCTCAGATACGTTCTGTTTGATTAGTTCAGTTTTCTTTTCTTTTCTTTTCTTTTCTTTTCTTTTCTTTTCTTTTCTTTTCTTTTCTTTTCTTTTCTTGTTTTTCTATGTCAAAATGTGTCATGACTTTTCTAACAACCCAATAATACAACAATAAAATTCAATCCTTTCTTTCTTCCTTCCTTCCTTCCTTCCTTCCTTCCTTTCTTTCTTCCTTCCTTCCTTTCTTTTTCCTTTCTTTCTTCCCTTTCTTTCTTCCCTCCCTCCCTTTCTTCTTTCTTTCTTTCTTTCCTTTCTTTCTTTCTCCTTTCTTTCTTCCCTTTCTTTTTTCCCTCCCTCCCTCCCTCCTTTCTTCTTTCTCTCTCTCTCTTTCTTTCTACCAATACAGAACATTTGGATTTCACATTTAGACAGTTTACATTTCCTTTATTACTTCCCTTGAAAAATTGCAAATCTGGCAACACAAGGCCCTCGTCCCCATAAGGCAAAAATAGAACTTGTGCTCTCTCGTTCACCCCAGCGCCTGCCACTCACAGGAGGCGTGCATATGCACCTGCACCTGCTCACGTCCTGCGTTTGTACTTCCTCCCATCTGGCAACAGCACACTGGATAATCAGAGCGGCTCTCCTGCTGAGGACAATTAAAAAAATGGGGAAACATAGAAATACAATCTGCTCAAAAGTGCAGCCAAAGTGGAGAACCCTGCTAGAGACGATGCCTAACCCTGCAGGTTGAAAGCCATTTTACTTACCTTTTTATATTCATGTGGCTACGGAGAACCAAGTGTGGAACTTTAGTACCCGAAGGACAGTTCAGGCCTGTGAGGGACGTTTTTTCTTCGTTTGTATTATCTGTGGCTGGGGCGCTTCCTTTTCACGGTGTCAATGAGGCTATTCATAACTTTGAACTGTCAGATACGATATCCTCATGCTTGTGTGGTAAGTATGTGGCCCTAGGAGAATCTGACTGCTATGTTATTAACCATAGTTACAAGTCTAGCAAATCCGTGCATTGAATTAAATACGTATGTATGAACACATACACAGGATCTTCAAAAAGCTCATGGAAAATACATAGGATGAAAATCTATGCATAGATTTCATTTTTTTTTGCATCAAAAATATATTCGTATTTTAGTTCTATTTTTTACACAAACATATTACAGTAGCTTCATATGTACCCATATGCGTTATACGGACATACATGCATGTTTACATATGTGCTTGCAATTATAGCTTGGTTTCTGTTTTACACAAAAGGCACTCTGCGTGTATAGTCCATTCTGATTCTGCTTCATAGGTATTTTGTATCCATAGCTACAGCAGACATCTTTACTTATTCCTAGTATTGCAGAATATAATTTAAAATAAAAATAAAAAGAGAGGTGTGTGCTTGCCAGAGAGCCACAGAGACAGAGACTGAGAGAGGCTGAAATCCTGTCATGATTCTGGGCACACAAGCACATGCCCAGCAAGATTTTCAAGTCTCCAGAGCCAGGACTGGAACCATGGTTGATCATGTGGGATCTAGTCAACCACTAGGCTTCTGGGCTGGCCCTATAATGTTATTTTTAAAAAGAGAAACCAAATTGTTCTATGTTCATATATTAGGCCACTAAAATAGCATTCTACTTATCCCCGTGTTTGGGACCCTACATGGAAGCTTACTAAATTGAACAATATATTGGTTCGAGTATTTAGATGTAAAGGTGGTATTTGACTTAGTCAACAGAATGAATTTTTTTTAAAAAAACCTTTCATTTAACTGAACTTATTATTGGTATTTTAAAAATCTGCTATAGCACACATGTGCTCACTAGAGAAAGAAAGAAAGAAAGTGAGAAAGCAAGCCACCAGGTCTAGGACTCAAATCACGGTCAGCCAAGTGGGTGCCCAGGGCCATAACAACTACGTCACCTGCTGGCCCCATGAATGAAAAATTTGAATGTTTTGTTTCTACTTCTCTCTCTCTCTTTTTAATAAGTAAATAAATGTTAAAATTTTTTTAAAAATGTACTTGAAAGCATCAATGTTAAGATAGTGACAAGTCGCCAAAGATCTGAAAAAGGTGGGCGCTCAGGGAGGCAGGCCCAGTAATTGGGGCTTCTTTTCTCACTGGGACAGACGATTGTTGCCTCGGCAAATATACAAAGAAACACAAGGCCAAGCAGCACCCCGGCCGCCCTGCATTCCCATGGGGGTGAAAGTTGGAATCTAGTGACTGCCAAAGGAAAAGGGGGACCTGGAGCCTCTCATTTGGGGGTAGAATCTGGGAGGATGGGACCTGAAGAGTGGATAAATTCAATAAAAGCAGTCAAAACTCTGTCGGAGGTGTTGTCTCTGTCCTCTCTGTCTCTCTTGCTCATGAAATATGTAAAAGAACTTTCAAAAATAAAAATGAGGGGACCAGCAGTTAGCATAATGGCTATGTCACTGGACTCCCATGTAGTCGACTGCGGTTCACGTCTCGGACCCAGTGGCTTAAAACTCATGGCGGGCGCTTGTGCGTGCGTGCCCAAGATCCCAAGAGGAGAATGGAGGAGAAGGGATTGTGGCGTGGCCATCCCTCCTGGGGGGTGATTTCTCGCTTTCTGTCTCTCTGTCTCTCTCTGTCTGTCTGGCAAGCGCACGTGCCCTATAGCATAAACCTCTAAAATAAAATAAAATAAAATAAAATAAAAATGAGGAAAAGTAAAAGAAGCTGAATTAAGTCATTACTCTTGGGGGCGACGACACTTCCTAAGATTGGTGAAGAGTGAGCGAGCTGCTTTCCTTTTAGACAGTAGAGAAGTGCTTCTTATGAACGCAAACACATCCTTAAGCAAATTTGTTTTATGAAACACTACCTATAGAACGGGTAAGCCTGGCTAGCAGGTAGTGTGGTGATAAGGGTGCTGGACTCCCACACCAGCACTGTAATCACGGTTGGCCCCAGTTTGAGTCCTGGCCCTGGTGCCTTGACACTCATGCTCAGCATGTGTGTGTACTGTCTCAAAATCCCAGGAAGAGAACGGAGGAGAAGGGATTACGCTGTGGCCATCCCCCTCAGGTGCTGATTTCTCACTTTCCCTCTCTCCGTCTCTCTGTCTCTCCAGCAAGCATATGCACCCTCTGACAAACACCTTTAAACAAACAAACAAAAAATAAATAAATAAATAAATAAAGAGAGAAAGAAATCGAAAACCTAGCGCTTTCTCATTTTCTAAGATGGCAGGCGAAAAAGTTGAGAAGCCAATACGAAGGAGAAGAAGTCTTAAGCCGAGAACGCGATGCCAGTAGCAAGGTTAAAAAGAGTGACCCAAAGGCTGAAAATCCCAAGAAGGGGAAGCCCCATTGCAGCCCAAAACCAGTCTTGGTCTGAGGCATCGGCAGATACTCCTGATCTGCCCTGTATTCCGGGAAGGCCATGTGTAAGAGGAAGTACTCAGCCACTAAATCCAGGATGGAAAAGAAAAAGCAGAAGCTTCTTGCCACTGTCACAAAACCAGTGAGTGGTGACAAGAATGGTACCTGGGTTGTTAAACCTTGCAAAATGCCTAGGTATTATCCTACTGAAGATGTGTCTCAAAAGCTGTTGAACTGGGACCAGCAGATGGCGTAATGGTTACATCGCTGGACTCCTAGGTAGTCGGCTATAGTTTGAGTCCCAGACACAGTGGCTTAAAACTCATGCCAGGCACATGTGCATGCATGCCCAAGATCCTGAGAGGAGAATGGAGGAGAAAGGATTGTGGCATGGCCATCCCCCCTGGGGGGTGATTTCTCACTTCCTGTCTCTGGATCTGCCTGATGTCAAAAATCTCTCAGAAAACAAAAGGGGAAAATAAGCTGTTGAGCCATGGCAGAAAACCCTTCAGTCATCATGTGAGAGAGCTGTGAGCCAGGGGCACTCTGGAACCATTCTGGTCATCCTTACTGGACACCACAGGGGCAAGAGGGTGGTTTTTCCCGGAACAAATGAGCAGTGGCTCACTACTTGTGACTAGACCTCTGAGACTCGATCTAGTTCCACTGCATAGAACACACCGGAAATTTGTCATCGCTGCCTCCACAAAAATTGATATTTGCAACATAAAAATCCCCAAACACCTTACTGATGCCTAAGAAAAAAGCTGTGGAAGCCCAGACACTAGGAAGGTGAGATCTTTGACACAGAGAAGGAGAGAACTACGAGATTATGAGAAATATGAGGTTGATCAGAATGCTACAGACTCCCAAATTTTACCAAAAATCAAAGCTGTTCCTCTGCCCCAGGACTACCTATGATCTGTATTTCCCCTTACAAACTCCATTTGGAGTTTATCTTCTTAAGTTGATGTTCTAAATTTCTTGCCAAGAACATAATTAAATAAATGATATCTATATATATGTATGTATACATATACATACATACATATATATACATACATATATATACATATATATAAAAGGAAAGAAAAAAAGAAGAAAAGAGAAATAAAGAAGAAAAAAGAAGAAGAAAAAAGAAAAAGAAAAAGGAAAAGGAAAGGAAAGGAGAACTTGGAAATTGATACTCAAAAATGTTCCTGGTTGTGCCACTTGAAAACTATGGGCCAACATCCAGGGTAATGCATCATAGAAGCCTGCAGAGGGCAGTGTTAGACAAGCTTTCGGGCTCAATCCTGCCTCTCCCCGGGAGCAGAAAGGCAATTCAACCTGATGCCTGGCCCGGAAGGCCCAGCCCATGCCCCCTGATATGTGTTCTCAATGAATTCTTCACAGGAAACTGACTCCCTGGAGAATGGAGGCCAGAGACTCTATTCTGTACCTAGAGTTAGGGCCTGGGACCAGAAACAGATGAAAATCTCATGTTCCCCTTGAAACACTGCATTTAGGAACGATATGGAGGATGGAAGCTGGGTCTGACTTACTCGTAGTGCTTTTGTTTTTCCTCTTACGAAATGGAAACAACAGTGCAATATCAGCAATTTACAGCTGCAGGAGACAGTAGGGGAAAGTGCCGGGAGCTCCAGCTCTGAGGTCAGAGAGCGGAGCACCAAGCAAGTTCTCTCTACTCTCCTGCCAAGCTTCCCGCGCCTCGGTTTCCCGGGCCGTCAGAGAGGAACAGCGGTCCTTTCCTGGTGGACCTGTTGTGAGGATAAAAGGAGACAAGACTGGAAAAGAGCTCAGCATATGAATGACATTTAGGAAGAACCCAGTAAATAATAGCGAAGATGAAGCTATGGATATGGGCTTGGCAACTTGTCAAGCAGGGCTGTCTTAAAACTTTCCATTCACATCTGAAGAGGCAGAATCAGAGCTGAGAAGTCAAGCGATTTCCATGTTGTAAGTTTTACAAGCCTCGGAGCTGGAAGCAGAGACAGCCGGGGAGGAAGGCAGATGAGTGTGCTGGATGCGAGAGGCCAGATCTTTGACATCCCTGTGGGGGCTCCCACCCCAGTGCTGACTTAGACACACGATCTGTGTCTAAAACCGCACGTATGTTGACTGCATGGCCTGACCATCAGCCTCACCTGCCTGGCACGTGAAAGTAATGGCTTTTTCATTCCAAGCACCCTCTGTGAAACATCAGTGGGTGAGGGTGAATAAAAACCGCTGAGTTGGACAGATTGCTCGAATATGCTAAAAACAAGGCTGAGAACAAGACCCCACCTTCTGCCGC